TTTAGATATAGAGGAACTCAAAAACAGTGACAATTACAAGAAGAGATGATTTTTTCCACTTATTTGTTCCATGAAGTAGAGTGAGTCTATTCATTGTGCATCAGCACTGCATAAACCCCTTTATGTTCTTGGGATTATAATTCTAACGAAGTTAACTACTGTCTCTAATTCAACAGAGCACAGCCTTTCCTGTACCGCCACTTACCACCACTTACCTAACTGCCTATACCCTTTCTCAGATCTCCACAGGTCCTCACTGATACTGCCCTCCACCTCAGTTCCTGACCACAGACTAACTTCTTTATCACACATTAATACAAGCAACTGAACTGTCACCCATGCACCTGATTTGTTTCTCTCTTCTGAACTGCTAATAGCAGAACAGGAACTCCTATTTAGAACTTTTTCCTGAAATGGTGCTTCACACAGAGTTAATTAGATCTGTTAATGCCACATAATAATCTAAACAAAGACTCACATTAAAGAATATTTTGTCACATTTGACTACCAAACCATGTTACTGTGCAATTGGTCTGGACATCAGACTGTGGATTAAACAAAAGACACTAACTTTCCCGACACACATCTCCCAGGATTTTAGGGTGAGTGCTGGAAATTCAAAAACAAGAATATGATGTTTTTCTGTTATTCCTAAAAGTTAAAGATAGTATGTTAATGAAGACTAAAAAATGCTTATCACCAATGTCACAGAAGTCATTTTGCAAAACAACTGTCCACAGCGAGCTACATAGCACCTTCTCTATATATTGTCATTTAGAGATCACAAAACCCCTTCCTGACATCAGCAAATGAGTTCCTCATTATAGTCTTAAAGACGATGTGCATTTCATTTTTGCTAGAAAAATTTAAGGTGTTTAGCAAAGTTCTAGTATTTTGTTATCCTGGTGCTTATTACCATTATTGCTATCCGAAAACCTGGGTCTAGGTTTGCCACCAGGAGCTGCTCTGCATTACATGAAACTTGTTTTAATATCTCATCAGGTGTTTGATTATGCTGGGAAATTGCATTCCCTTTGAATAAATGACAGAGGCAAATATATTCATTTGTAGCTATAGTTTCAGATTTCTGAACCAGAGAGCTGTTTTATTTGAACACATGCCGAGGTGAATTCACTGACTGAATTTTTGGTTGAGCTTCGATAGCTGATGGTGGACCCAAAGTCATCAATTATAGCATCTATGGTTTTGTTGGGGGTTTTGTTTGTTTTGTTGGTCATGGGTTTGAACTCTGGGCCTGGGCGCTGTCCCTGAGTTCTTCAGTTCAAGGCGAGCGCTCTACCACTTGAGTCACAGTGCCACTTCCGGTTTTCTAGTGTTAGAGATAAGAGTCTCATGGACTTTCCTGCCTGGGCTGGCTTTGAACCATGATCCTCAAATCTCAGCTTCCTGAGTAGCTAGGATGAAAGGCGTGAGCCACCGGTGCCCAGCTGGTGGGTTTTTGTTTTTGTGGGTTTTTTTTTTTGAGAGTAAGAAAAAAAGTTATGGCAGTTAATAGAGAATTGTCAACTAGAGTCATACAGAAAACTGGTGTTAGCAAATTCCTCACTGGGTGAACCTACAAGAAGCCACCACAATTTGGAATACCTTGAGCACTGTGCTTGCTTTCATCTAACACTATTCTCCAAGAGAAACACTGCTATTGTTATTCTAGTCAGGCAATCTGGTATTCCAACTTCCTGAGGTAATGTGTGCATTGCATAAGGTTTAAAGGCAGAAGCAGAGCGTTTTTGTTAGAGGTTAGGGGCTCCAGATATTCAAACCAGCTCTCTACATTACCTCCACTGAACAGGTGCTCTGCTTCTCACTCTTTCCCCTCTTCATCTGCACGGTGCAAATGCACAGGCTGTTTTCTGAGGAAGCAGGGATCTTGGAAGTACCTCTAGGGAATGTGGGTAAAATACCCTTGTTTCATAGACCTTTCCATCTGAAGTCTTTTCCCCTGAAGGCTGGTACTCTACCCCTTTCACTGTTCATTTTTAAGGAGATGGAACTGGGCTGGGAAGATGCTCAGTGGTAGAGTGCTTGCTAGCATACATGAAGCTCTGGGTTCAATTCCTTAGTACCATATAAGAGAAAAAAAGCGGAAGTGGCACTGTGGTTCAAGTGGTAGAATGCTAGCCTTGAGCAAAAACAGCTCAGGAACAGTGCCCGGGCCCTGAGTTCAAGCCCCAGGACTGGCAAAAAATAAAAATAAAAGGAAGAAAGAAAGAAAGAAAAAAGGTGTTAAGGCGTTATTACTTGGTATAGACAAAGACGATGACATTTTTCCTGACCTGATGATGGGTCAAATGGTGTTTAACTGTCTTAGATGACCCTACTTTGTAATAACTGACATCATTGTCTCTATAGCCCCACACTCCTATCTTCGTAGGATTGGAATGGAGGCTTCTAAAGGATAGATTCAACTTGGAAAAACCACATTGGTTGCAATTTTTATTTTTCACTGTATCTGCTTCAATTGCCTTTTTGTTCTTCTTCTTCGACATTTGAAACTGAACAGCAAACAACATGCAGCAGTGATTTTTGAGGAGTGAAAGCACTCTCCTGGACGGGAGGAGGAGGCTGGAGGACGGCCGCACAGGCCAGGCCTGGCCTCTCTGTACTGCTCATCAGGTCATGCAGAGAAGCCCAATTGCCCATGCGCCTCGCTCAGCCAAGTGCAGGGCCGCGTGGCTGATTCCCCTTCCTTCTTTTCTTCTTGGCCAAAAGCTAATATTGCTAACAACACACTTTAGTGACCTTATATCACAACTCAGGGGATTCAGTTCAGCAAGAAAAATCTAGAGAAACTACCTCCAAATGTATTAATTTTTCAAGTAAAAGTTTTAATGTTTTAAAAGATCCTTGTGATCTCTTTCTTGGCCTTGAAGATTTTTTGGTGCATAGTTTATCCAGGTTTGTCTTGTTGACATTCTGAACTATAAACCATGTATTCATTTAACAAGTAATTTTTGAGTACATTCTATGTAATACCCAATTGCTGAATGCTATGAATAAAATAAAAGATAAAACCTCATGCCCGTGGCTCATGTCTGTAATCCTAGCTGCTCAGGAGACTGAGATATGAAAATCAGAGTCTGAAGCCAGACCCAGAAAACAAATCAAAGAGACTCATCTTCACAAAATGCCAGAAGTGGAGGTATAGCTCAAGTGATAGAGGATCAGCTTTGAGCAAAAATGCTTAGGAAGACCTCGAGGACCTGAGTTCAAGCCTGAGCATGGACACACACACACACACACACACACACACACACACACACACACACACACACACACACACACACACACACACACACACACACACACACACAGCAAATAAAATGGATGCAGCTATATCTCTCCCACAAACCACAGATTAATTATAATCCAGGGTACAATCCAAATACATACCAATTATATACTCTCTGTTACTACTTTACTACTATCTTACTATAAGATCTTATTCTGCCTTTTACAAAACTAGTTAGAATACTCTTTAAAAATTTGTATTTTTGGACTTGTGAGAGAGGCACTGTACCACTTGAGCCACATTTCCAGTTCTTTTATCTTATTTTTCAGATAGATTTTCACAGTTTTACACAGTAAACCTACAGCTTTTTTCTTTATGTTTTGTTGTATTAACTTTGGTGTACCTCTACATGCCAAGTATAAGCAGTACAAAACTAATTGATGAAGTGCTATGACTTTAAAACGCGTATGTTAGGATAAATCAAGAAGAATGAATTTGAAGTGGTTGAAATAACCACCGTGGACGTGGTTGGCACTTAAGCCTTTTGGGCTTGGAGAATCACTGATGCAGTACTTTATGGGGATTTCATTTTATAGGCTTCTCAGTCCAAGAGTTTTTAAGCATACAAAAAGTGACTTGGCCTGGGCGATAAGGCAGACATTCAGCTGTCAGTGAAGCCGCTTTGCTTTTAAACGGCTTGTTCCCAAGTTTGAATCTGTAATCCACAGGCAGAAAAGCTTTATATTTGCAGGCAGAGATGCAAGATGCTCCGAAGCTATTACCTTATAATAGAAACTGATAATAAGCAGACTATGGAAGTCCAGACCCTGACCTAAAGGGAAATGGAGAATTGAATTGAGATGATTATCTCCTTACTGTTGGCCCAAATTAACGTTCACCTTTAAAGACTCAGATCAGTCATTCAAAAGTACAGACTGTCACTCACTTATATGATAAGAGGGAAGTTCTCAAAACTGGGAGGCTTTATTTAAAATTTTATAGTTTGTATATTTCAATTTAAATACTTTTAGGATGTAGAGAAAATCCAAGTATTTAGAAAGAAATGAGGAAAAGGACTTCTGAATATTTTTATTTCCAAAGAAATCCTTTTTTCTTTTTTTCCTATGTGAATAAACGACAGCATTTGTCTCTGGTATTCTGATCAAGAAAATGAGCAAGTAAAGGATGGGCATTAAAAGAGGTTATCTTCAATAAAAATGTTTTTACTTCTCTCTCATAACTTGGGTCTACTATGTTTGAAGTGAGGGTGAATGAGGAGATCCATCTAGTTTCTGAAATGCCACGATTGAGCCCCATATTTGCCCTCCCCGTAATGGGGTTTTTAAAAAATAAAAACCTTCAGAAGTACTTGTCCTCCTATTTTAAAATTCAAACATTTTCTTTCTGAAACGAGAGCCATTGCAGGGGAGATAGGCACAGAATAGAAACACCGCGCTTCCTCAAACAGCAAATGCACCTGCTGCGTGTTAAGTATGAAGATTGAACAAGGGCGAGATTTGTCTGACAAATGAAAATAGGATCAACATGATCAAAGAGGAATGGTTGGGGGGAGGTTGGTTTTGCTTTTCTTTCTGTTTTGAATGAACGTAGAAAGTAGGAAGTTTTGATCGTAGTCTCATGTAACTCTAGTTAAAGGTAGCTATTCATGGGAGTTAAAAACATGTTTGTTTTCAAACACTCTCCAGTTTCTGATGAGGGCTGGCATGGTGCCATCTCTGTTCTCTTCCAGGAGACTACGTGGTCATGTGTGTCTACTTTGACCTCAGCAGAAGAATGGGCTACTTCACCATCCAGACCTACATCCCCTGTACGCTCATCGTTGTCCTGTCCTGGGTGTCTTTCTGGATCAATAAGGATGCAGTGCCAGCCAGAACCTCTTTAGGTAAGACATATTTCTTTGTGCTATGCCGATACCATCAACCTTGCTTTCCCATTCTAAGTTGATTTGCTCCAAGTTCAGCAACAGTGATTTATATGGGAAGTATTTGCTTTAAGGAAAATAAGGACTTAAATAATTATAGTAACATTTACTAGTTCTGCTGTTCTGCTTTCCTGAATTACTTCAATAACTTTTATCATATGTTTATAACCAGATTAACTAAAAAGAAACCATTTACTTTCAATGGAGTTGTGTGCAAACATATTGATTCTATTTATCCTTTTCTAATTCTATGCTTCCCCATGTCTCATAAGTAGTTAAAAACCAGCCAGGGTGAAGTATTAACACCATGGGCTTCTGATTCCTGGAGTTGATTAGTGCACATTTCCCAGGACACCGTTTGCTGTTAGTTAATTTCAACATGTGTAATTCTTTTGATGATATTCGAAGTAATTGATGCTACAGAGAAGGGCCATCAAAAAGATTATTTTTGGTAGAGTACATTTGCCTGTGAAATGTTGGGAACAAAAGGGCCTTTAGGATTATTTGCAGTTGACTCAATCTATCCCATATGATAGCATTTGTCTTATGTTTTTACCCTATGTTGCTGTATCAATGGAAGAACATACACACTTGAGACATTAGACTCTAAAGCCATGAATGAAATGTTTATTCTACATAAGAGCTTTTGAAGATTTAAGTAAAAATGTAGGAAAGATTAATTATAAAACCCAGTCCCCTTTCGTCAGCTATGGGGAACCCGGAAACGTGTTCCTTACTGACTCTTGGCTAATAGTTTAGAACCTGGGTTTTCAACTCTGGATTTCTAGCCACACATCCAATATGACCTTGGGATGTCCTTTAATCTCTAAATCTCAGCTTTCTCACACATAAAACTTATCATATTTCCTATAATTAACATTCAAAGTTCCACTAGGGTTTAAGTAAAGGATCCCATGCAAACTAGACACTGGAATGATTTCCTGACAAAATGATCTGTGCTAGGTTATTAAACAGAGGGCAGAAGTGATTACTGCAAAGAGTAATTTGCGTATCTGTCCTCTTCCAAACTTAATTTAGTTTCCCATCTGTTTCAAAATGAAGTCATTTTGATTTTTCCTGTTTTATGCAGTACTGTGTGTTACAGTCCTATTCAGCAATTTGAATATCTAGTCTAATGGTACAAGCTGAAATTAACTCAGCATATCGTGAGCCTAATATTTTAGGACTAGAACTTGCCACTGTTAGTCGAATGTCCCATCTCTCCAATCGGAGTAATGCAAATCTCTTTTTCATCTCCGTTGTAGTGCCTGGAACATAAGCCACTACCTGGATGGTGATTCAAATACTGTATGTAGTTATGCATGGCTAGAATAAATGCAGTGACATATTCCAGTCTATCCTGTTCCATAAGAATATGTGAAGGAAAATATTTCAATGGTTTTTCTTGTTGAAGTCTGGGCTTTCGCTCACATGTCCCATTTAGTCTGTTTAGGTAGCTCACTTAGTGAGTGGTATTTAATGTTTAATACTTACTAGATAAATGTTACTTGGAAAGTGACTATGTTGGAGAAGGGACAAAGGTGAGTGAGTAAAGGAATGAGGAAGAGGCTTCTGAGCAATGAACAGGTGGCTGACCCTATCTACTCATCATTTACCTGTCAGGCCTGCTCCCCATGGCTTGTCGGATTTTGCTATACTTGGCAGAAAAGACACACAGAAGTGCTAATAACACAAATGATTATCGCATGTTTTCAAACTGAGCTGAGGAAATGGAGGTGAGCAAGTTTAAACAACTGACATAAGGCCACTCAGCTGTCAGGACCTCGGCCTTCACCTGCCTGGTGTGCACAGACAGTGTGACTGAGCGCGGGTGTGAGGACTCCTTGAGGCCGGTGGTGGGAAAGGTGAAAACCCACACACCCGGCAGCAGTGACTATTTTAACTGTGTTGTCTCACTTCTCCACATCACTACTCCCTAAATGTAACTGCACATTTGTGTCATGAGGAGCAATTTGAAAAGAACGGATGATGAGCTGGGCACTAGTGGCTCACATCTGTAATCTTAGCTACTTAGAAGGCTGAAATCTAGGGAGGGCTATTCAAAGCTAGCCTAGAAAGGACAGTCTGTGAGACTCTTATCTCCAAATAGCTACCACCAAAAAAAAACAGCTTTGGGACAGCATTCAGGCCCTTAGTTCAAGCCCCAAGATTAACACAAGTAAGTAAATGAATAGATTTAGATAGACAGACAGACAGACAGACAGACAGACAGACAGATAGATAGATAGATAGAATATAAATAAAATAAAACTAAGATGACTTAGTCCAACCCTAAGAAGTATTTATGTCATTTATCAAGAGAAATCAGTTTGCTTGACAATTGTACAATTAGGAAAAGAAGACTTTTTTAATCGCACACTTAATTCCTGCATCCAAATTCTCCCTCTGTTGATTTCCTAACGATGGGCCAATGACAGAGCCTAACGCAAAAAATAATTTCAGCAAATATTATGTCTTATTTTACTTTGGAGATAATTATTTTCATCCTATAAAAATCATCTACCAAATCATGGGAATGGATGCATAACTTCTACTTCACCAATGCAACACGGATTTCCCTGCCTGTCCTCAGATGCCGTGCACTCTAAACAGCCATAAAGAAACAAGACTTCCTTTCCTCCCAACCTTCTTCTAAGTTTGTAATAGTCACAAAGTTGGTTACTGCTGATATTTGAAGCTTCGCATCTTAGCCACCAGCCCCACAGGGGCCTCCTTCCACCAAGGAGTTTCCCATCATGCCTGCCACCTCCCACAGCACACAGTACGTGAAGTTGTAGGATCCATCCGGTAAATCCAGTTGACGAGAGGCAGAGAATCCATCACTTACAAGGCCACATTACAAATCCTAATTGGAGAGCCGGAGGGCCGCTGGTGGATTCGCATCTCAAAGACCAGCAGCCCCATGAATACACGTAACAGGGTCAGAAAACTCAGCCATGAGAGCCAGAAAGGAAAGAAAAGTAGAAAAACAATACCAACAAACCAGATCAGCTCCAATGGGGAGCTGAAGTGAGACACTATGGTGACCAGAGGAGAGCCAGGAGACAGGACACAAATGCAGAGACATGTGGCACTGAGTAATGGCGCCTGAGCTAGCTTGGGCCTAAATAGGGCTAGGTTAGGGGCAGTGTCACAGGGAGCTTGAGAGACTGGCAGGCCCATGAATCCAAGTCCCCGCCTCTGCCTCTAGGAATTCAGGCACCCGGTCCATTACCTGGGAAGTGGGACTTCCCAGTCTCCACCATGAAGAGAATATGGCACTAGTTAAACCCAATACCCTACTGTCCACCATGTGGCCAAGATGGCGCCAGCCAGATCCAGTATCCTTCCTTCAAAGTGAAGATTTGAATTATATGCCTGACTCATAGTTCTCTGGTTCCTAGGGGTCTCTTACTAAAATATAAAGCACCGAGTGCCAGGACCAGCCTCTATGTTTCAGCATATACTCAGTGCTCACCACAATAACATATACAGCAGACAAGCAGTAGTATCTGCGAGATAGAGAAATTAATTAGTTGTGACTCCGCCCCCATTGTTGAGGATGGGGATCAGAAATTAAGAGTGACTCATTGTTCACTTGGCCACATGCTGTCACATGATCTGTTCTGTCTTGCCTGTCTCCAGGTATCACCACAGTCCTGACGATGACCACGCTCAGCACCATCGCCCGGAAATCTCTCCCCAAGGTCTCCTACGTCACAGCCATGGACCTCTTTGTATCTGTTTGCTTTATCTTTGTCTTCTCTGCTTTGGTGGAGTATGGGACCCTGCATTATTTTGTGAGCAATCGGAAACCAAGCAAGGACAAGGACAAAAAGAAGAAAAATCCTGTATGTATCATTTCCCACTGGGAACACTGAAGTTTGTTTGTTTTTTTAATGTATAAAGACCACAAGGTTGGGGTTGGGAAGGTGGCTCAGTGGTAGAGCACTTGCCTTCCATGCCTGAGGCCCTGGGTTCAATTCCTCAGCACCACATAAGCAAAAAGAAAAAAGCTGGAAGTGGCGCTGTGGCTCAAGTGGTAGAGCGCTAGCCTTGAGCTGAAGAGCTGAGGGACAGTACCCAGGCCCAGAGTTCAGGCCCCACAACCGGACCCCCCCCAAAAAAAGACCACAAGGTTTTTGCTTAGTTTGGTTTTGGTATCCTAGCTGAAGGTGAAGGCTCAGAATTTGGGCTTCAAGATAAAAACAGTTTGGTATGAGTTTGAGCCAGCCATAAAGATCCACTAAATGGTCATTAGTTCCTTGAGAGATTCCTGGGTTCTAAGTCGGAATCCTTATGCAAATACAACATCCTGCATCTTTATGTTATAGGTTAAAACTGATGTCGAGGAATATATCCATGTGCTATCTGCTATTGTTCTAAGTCTCACTGATTTTCATCTTTCTGCCCCAGTTGCTATCAAGTTTTAAATTTTTTAGTGTTATAAATGAAAACTTTCATTTAAGTCATTCCACTACTCAGCTGCAGGTGCTTAAAGTTCTGAGGATTATCACACTTTTCCAAATGATTTAGTGTGTTGTTGGGTAGGCATACACAGGTATATCATTACCTGATGACTTCTGTTGGATCCATATATAATATTATCTTTGTGTGTGTGTGTGTGTGTGTGTGTGTGTGTGTGTGTACATGCATGCATGCTAGTAGCAGGGTTTAAACTAAGGGCTTCATGATCTTGCTCAAAATTCTCATCTACAGTTGGTACTCTACCACTTCAGCTACACCTCCAATCTTGCCTTTTGGCTGGTTAATTGGAGAGTGTCTTGAACTTTTCTGCTCAGGCTGGCTTTGAACTGTGATCCTCACATCTTAGCCTCCTGTGTAGCTAAGATTATACATGCAAGTCACTAGTACCTGGCTCTTTTTCCTTTGAAAACAAATACTTTACTATGTTCAGGTAAGTTACTAGTCTCCCCATGTCTTTCTCGTAGAGAAAATTAATGTGTTATGGCAATGCTGGGAGAAATGAATCTGGTGAGGGAGGTAAACTCAGAGAGAGCCCTTGTCCTTTGTAGTTGAGGATATGGTCTGGTAGCAGTGATGGTTGATGGCTGGTGAGGGAGGTAAGCTCAGAGAGAGTCCTTGTCCTTTGTAGTTGAGGATATGGTCTGGTAGCAGTGATGGTTGATGGCTGGTGAGGGAGGTAAACTCAAAGAGAGTCCTTGTCCTTTGTAGTTGAGGATATGGTCTGGTAGCAGTGATGGTTGATGGCTGGTGGTTGATTATCATAAATAAATTCACGATTTATACTGTTACTAACAAGAGTCTCTTTCAGCATCTGTGTAATTTGGACACAGGTAGGATGACTTTTGATTGCTCTGAGGTTTAACCAGAGAAGATCAGGCACAAAGATAAGTGCCTACAGTGCCTGGCTTTTATTGTGGCTTTAAGGAAAACAGGTAACTACCCACAAGTCCACAGAGCAGACTCTGGCTTTTAGAGCCACAAATGAGAGTTAAGGTCCATTCCGGCAAGGGTAACGGCCCCGCCTCCCTGATTTCCAGCCTTTCCTGGCTTTGTGGTCCAAGAGTCACAAGGGCTATGACAGTGGCTACCTATGTGGCCCAGGGAAATCTAGCTGGTTCTAAGTTATATCCTGACACATCTCCCAGAAACTCCAGAAAAAGTCTGCAAATAGCACATTTACTGAAGCAAGTAAAGGATCCTGTTGATTAACAAAAGGAAATGCTTCTTGTTTATTTCCTCCAATATTTATGATGCCCTGTGCAATCTTTGCTCTCTCTCTGTTTTGCCTTTCTCTGCCTTTCCATTGTTTTATTTTCCTTGTGCTGGGTGTTTTTGTTTGCTCCCTCTCCTCTTTCCATTTCATTCTCTCCTGAGAAGATGACCCCTGCTATTGTACCTGCCAGCTATAACAAGGGTATGAGGTTAGGCTGTCAGACCACTTTTGAAAAATCCTTTAGAAAAGAGTCCTTTGGTTATCAGCTATATCACGGCAGGGCAGAGAGGAACACAGTTGAATTCCTCAATCTAGAGTCATAGAAATAGCAGGGGGGGTGGGAAATGAGAAGCGAAAGGAGAAAAGGAATCAAAGAAAATGAGAAAATAAAATTTCCAAAGCATTTCATACGTTTTCCCTTCAATCTGCTAATTTATCAAAACTGTTACAGTGTGGAAGGAGACGCTGATATTTCCTTTTCCTGTCTACCTGCCCTTGTCTCACGTGCCAAGTCTCAGCAGTGATGGTCTCCCTGATGACTGTTAGAAAATAAATTGACACTATTTCTATACAGGGAAAACAGACAACAGGAAGACTCACAATTGATCAACACTGGCTTTTGCAGTGAGATAAATGTGGACTCTTTTACTGAAGATTTAACTAAAAATCACCAGATTTTGTTGTAGCAATTGAGCATATACTTTATCCCAGTTCAGAACTCTCCTTCTGTGTTTATAATTTCAGTTCATTTTACTTGCTGTGTTTTCAAAATGTATTTTTAATTTATCTTATTTTGTTTCTCTTTCTTATTTTTTCCTACCCTTTCCTTTTTTTTTTTTTATTAAAAAATCCCCAAACCTGCGATTCTCTTTTCTGTCTACAAACCCAAAGCTTCTCCGGATGTTTTCCTTCAAGGTATAATGTTCTTGGAATGAAAATCCACTGCATGCAATTGCTAAATTTAACTATTAACGCTTCACACTGTGTTTTTATTTAATTCATTTTTTTTTTGAGTAGAGATTTAAGCATTCTACTAGAGATAACATACTCAAGGTTGGGGAAAGTTCTGTAGTTTCCAGAGTTGATGAAGTAACTATTCAGCATTTCACCACAGGCTTTAATCTTACTCAAAAGCTCACAATTGTAAGGCCTGTGAAATGTCACAGGTAATCAAGGCTCTTTTAAACATCAAAGCCAAAAATGACCTTCTCTCTTCAGAATGGGAGAAAATGGGATCCAATTTCACTTGTTTATACCTGAATTCTTTTAAAACAAAATTTAACTCTATAAACCCTAAAACCCAGATTTTAAATTTTCTCCATAAAATTTATCTCTTTTGTCTAAGCGAAAATGTGAATCTCATAAGAACAATACTGTCTTTTAAAGACTTTAAATTAAAACACCTGTACTTTTCTTCTGATGTGTTCGTCAGGTTTGATGATTCTATAAAGTGTTAACATGAGATTTCTACTCAATTCTCATAGATTCAGATTTGTGTTTATGCTGAGTTACTTAAGTAACTCAGCAAAATCAACGTTACATACACTCAAATTTTATTAGTAGTTGGGTAGCAAGATTAGACTTGCATGTAGTTAACTGGTATGAACTAACTGGTATTAACTAATTAATAGTTTCTCCTCAAATGCTAAAACAATTAACATGTAGATTAATTCACACATATATGAATACTGCTGACTTCTTAATTTCAAATTGGTGAGTGCTACTAAATACTCTCTGAAAACATAAGGTATACTACCTTAGTGGTATAAAATCAGAAATCTTCTAAATTATGAATTTTCGCATTTTTCTATCAACATCATTTAATATATTTGCTCAGTGTAATGGGGTTTCCTATCTGCCTATAACTAAGCATGACAGAATTTGATTTCAAAATCAATGCATTTTTATTTCTCTGTATCACTCACAAGCAGTCTCATCAAATGGCTTCATGTAACCAATTTCACATCTAGTAATTAATAGAATACGGTTCCATGTAGTTTGATTTGAATCTTTAAACTTTGCGTTTTTTTGGTGTTCTATATTCTTGCGTTAGCAATTAGCTTGACATTATTTTCAGCTGCACTGCTTAAGCTCAGTATTTGAAACCCGCAAATGTGCTACCTCTTTCTAAGTTAAATTTTCCCATCCTAGATCGCAATGCCATAGCAATTTTCTGAGTACTCATTTTCAGATTCATCATCCCATTGGTGACATTGTGGAGAAAGCCTAAGATTGCTCAAGCATCCCTAACTTGGAGCTCTCTCCTTCCCCACCTTTGTCCCAGGCTCCGACCATTGATATCCGCCCACGATCAGCAACCATTCAAATGAACAATGCCACACACCTACAAGAGAGGGATGAAGAATATGGGTATGAGTGTCTGGATGGCAAGGACTGTGCCAGTTTTTTCTGCTGCTTTGAAGACTGTCGAACCGGAGCCTGGAGACACGGGAGGATACATATCCGTATTGCCAAAATGGACTCCTATGCTAGAATCTTCTTCCCCACTGCCTTCTGCTTGTTCAATCTGGTGTACTGGGTCTCTTATCTTTACCTGTGAGGAGCTTTGGTTTTACTGATATGGGTCTTACTTGCTGAATCTCATGGAAAGATGTCCTTTCTAAGTGTAGTTGGTAATGATCTGAGTTCATTTCTACGTCCTGATCTGGTAAACTGTATAATGTCATATTGTTTGTGCCCAACTCTCCTTTGGTTAGTGTAATTTGAACTTCAATGTATGTCATGTTTCAAACCTGCAAGGCAAAAGTAAAATCAGAACAAGAACTCTGAAGCCAAGCAAGATAGTTACTTTTCAACTACAACAACTGAAATTGTGAGAGCGTGACTCTTTATAGAGGTGGTATCTTTACTTGGTTCATAATACAGTTCCACCCAAAAGGTCCCAAACCGTATCCTATGTTCGCTTGGGGTCAAGTTGTGGTAAACTCAAACAAAATAGAATACCTCCCTTATTTGTGAAGAATCACAACTCACTTTAAATATACAAGCCTAGAGTAGAAATCTACTAAGCCTTTATCCCAAGACAAGAACAAAATTTCCTGCACATCACCTGTACAATGATGTAAATATTTCAGTAATGTAGAATGCTTCCAGTTTAATGCATGCATCTCTTTAGAGCCAAAATAAATGGATTGAAGTTATCATCCTAAAGTATTGTCTTTTATTTTGTGTCTTTGGGCTATATAACAGAAAACATGAATGCAATTTTAAGGATTTGGGTTTGGAATTGGAGGGAGGAATTTTCACTGCCCTCCCCCTCATGCATGAAGATTTAGTTGATTTACTTGCTTTTGTATGACAGATGACACTACTTGAAGTAAAGTATAGGCTGAATAATGGACATTTGCTAACTCTTAAATATGCCCAGTTTTCTAAGTAGAGTATGAAGTAATTGTATGTGCTTGCTGCTATTTTTCCTTCCTTTTAGGATGCTAGTTCTTAACAGAACGAAACCTCCATCTTATTATCTGCTTCCAGTGATGGTGATTGCCTTGTAGGCAGAATCATTGTCATTTCTTTGGGTCTCTACACCTTGTGCCTGGCACATAGTCAGTGCTTAGAAAATATAGTCTGAGATAAATCACCTGCCCAAATCCCTGATGATGAATCTTCCTCTTATGACCTGGAAGTTGAGATTCATCTTTTTCACTCCGGCATTGTCAAGCGATGTTTGATCTTGTAGAAACAACCAAAGGATCCAGGGAACTCTGGCTATTATGTTCCTCTTTGAAAACGTTGTTTTGGCAGTCTGTACTTCTCTTCAAATAGTGTCCATGTCTCATGTTGGTGCACAAATGACTGCCTGGGCCTACACCTTATCACTTTTCCAGGTTTGGGTGTAAGTCTGCTTGGGAATTTATGACAGGGATGGACAAGACTTCCATACGTGACTGGAATTCAGAACGTAGTACTTTATTATACAGGAAAAACTGTACTGAATATTGAAATAAAAAGGGAGCAAACAAATGAATGGTTTATGCAGAGGCCAATGTGCCTGTGACTATAGCCTCATAAGACTTTGTAGCAACCAAATATGATGGCCATACAGTTCAAACATTATGGGGTGAGCTTTATCTTCCTTTGCTCATCCCAAATACACATATAGTTTTTAAACACATCCTCTTCTTCTTTAAGGCAATGATTTCATGGAGTCAGAATTTAACTATTGGTAGTATAACTCTATACATAATCTAAAAAGTATAGAAAAGAGAGAACAACTTGGGTAATATAAAATCATGTAAAGTGATATCAACTCATCTGGATGAATCTTGAAATACATTTAGTGACCAATTTTAATCTATCAATGCTTTAGTACTTAGCTTCCAACAAATGTAAATAGAACAACAATATTTTCTTGTTTTGAATTGTTGAGATATTTAATGTTCATTCTTTAGGAGAGTTGTTGGCAAATTTCAATGGCAAGAAACATGTTATCATTGTCAACTTGAAATGTGTTCTGTAATGGGGACACTAAACAAAGCTAGCTTTCCAATATGTGCATAATACGGGCAATATGAATATATTATATAGAATCTAATTCTTAATTATCAGCTGCTCCTTGTTTATGTATTTGAAAACCTTTTCACAAAGGTAACTGCCTAAAGTGGACTTTTCCAATAAAAATGCTGAATTCGGATTCACAGTGCCACCGCACTGGTCTAATTGGGTTATTTTTCCTAAACAGTTTGAGCTTCTTTCCTGTCTCCTTCTTCAAACCCCCTTTCCCTGAGCTTTGGGGAACTAAACCTTTTTCACACAGCATTCTCTCCACTTTTAAAGAACTAAGATGTGTGTTTAAGGCAGGAACGAAGAAGGAAGGCAGAAACATTGCTGAAGTTACTAAAACATCAAACTTTATCTCAACACATTTGAGATTTGGTTAAAAAAGCAGACTGTTAGATGTAGGCTGGGCATCAGTGGCTCACACCTGTAACCCTAGCTACTCAGGAGGCTGAGCTCTGAGATCACAGTTCAAAGCCAGCCCAGACAGAAAAGCCCAAGAGACCCTTTTCTCCAATGAACCACCAGAGAACCGAGTGTGGGGCACTCTACCCAAAGTGGTAGAGTGCTAGCCTTGAGCATGAAAGCTCAGGGTCAGTGCCCAGGCCCTGAGTTCAAATCTTGTGAACTGACAAAAAGTAAATGAGGTAGACCATTGTCACATGAAGTTAGGATCACTGACCATGTACTACTGTACATTTCTTTTTTTTTTTTTTTTGTCTTTTGCCAAGTCAGTATTTAGAAGCCTCTTTTTTACCAACTATGAATATTCATGTACCTCAAGTACTGACATTCAATGAATGGCAGAAAGCTCTCTCCCTAATTTCCAACATCTCCTATGCAACGTTGCTCCATATACCCCAAGTAGATTAGCTCTCCTAGAGAAGTCCGATAATAGTCATGGCGGTTCATCTTAAAGGAGCATTTGTCTTGCAATTCTTTTTTTAAAATGTAAGCTGGAAATTCAAGTCCCTTGTTGGGGAAAAGACTTACATCGGTTGCTTTCAAGGCCCAGTTAACAACAAAGAATTACAGCAGCAAACATAAAAGCATCAGGACTGGATTAGTCTTGTTCCAGAGTCAGTGTCATATTTTCTTGAGCTTCTTTTAAACTCTCCAGAGAATAAATCAGTATCTTTCACAAGCGTAGCCGCCCTCGCCTTTCCCTGCCTGCCATGCTCTTGGCCCCTTGTGGCCTCCTGTATTCAGCTTAAACATCTATTTCTTACCTTCCAGACGTGTATTTTCAGTTCGCTCTCATCTGCTGTCTGGCTCAATGCCCTATCTCTAGCTGAGTGCACAGTCATTGCATGGTCTGTGTCCCACTTTTCTGGCTTCAGGGTTATGCTGACTACTCGCCGAAATGTAATAAAAAGTCAAAATAAAGTAAGCAAATGAGGTGATCTTCGGGGATTCTAGCAGAGATTGCCATCTCTCTTCTTTGTCACTATGAATCCTTGTTGAGGGTGTAAGAGGGGCGTGTACAGAAGAACCATGGCTCTGTAGTATTTCCAGGGTCCCATGAATGGTCACAGGCCACACAGCTGGTGAAAAGTAAACTGAAGACAGCTGGCCAATCACTACCATTTCCAGTGTACTTAACAGTGCTTCAGGATTTGGAAGTGCAATTCTGGAGTGCTTTTTCTGTTTATTGTTTAGGGTCTTTCAGACTTGTAATTTTTATCTGCCTCAGTTTCCTTATCTGAAAAAATAGGCATAATACTGGTAGATATTGCATGCTTTTGTTTTAGGGAATAACTAAACACCAGAAAATGATGACTTGTAATTTTCTTTAGCACAGATATGAAATTTCAGAAAAGAAAGAATTCAGGCCCATGTCAATGTGGCTTAAGAGTAATTATTGTCATTTATGAAGGTTCCCTTTTCTCATTCAAAGTTGAGATAGAAAGGGTCCCTGGAGCATGCACCAAGGCCCTATGATGGCAGGCCTTCTGTTCTCATGGGTAAATGAGGAGAGGAGGCCCCTCCTTCTCGGGCAGGGCTTCAGTCTGCCTCTTCTATGCTGTTAGTTATGGTCCTGTGAAAGAGTACCATCTAACGCTCCATTCTATTATGCAGTGCCTCATCTTCTCACGGCTGCTCTGTGTCACTGTTCTAGTTCTTAACAATGTACCCTACTCGTAGAGTTTTTTTCCTCTGCTTAACAGACTTTACAATCTAATTAAATAGTCTACCCAATCCATGAAGTCTTTCCAGCTTCAATAAAGTAAAATACTGTATTTTCTTTTTCTCTCTTTCCATGTTTGGTGTGATTTTAGAGTCGTCTAGTCCTGCTGTTTACCTCACCTAAGTACTTAGGATTGGATCCACCCAATCCTCTTAGCAAACAAAATTTAAACGAGTAATGCTGTGACAAGAATATGATATAAATAATTCACTAGCCATTTGCATCTTAAATCAGGCATTTTATCTTCTTGTCTATTCCCCCAAATACATTTGGCTTATAGCTTTTTGTTCCTTGTATGTTTTATGGCTCTAGAATGAAGTCTTTTATCAAAGAAATTTTGATTAAACACCTATAAAGTTAACTCAATGGAAGAACTCTCAGTAAACACAGAACCACAGGCCTCTGGGAAGGCAGTAGGAAGATAAGGAAGAGAGAAATTTTAGGAATTCTTTGCCTTGAAATGTCTATAATATGTTAGAGACAAAGAGCAATACAAGAAACTATAACAGAGCTGCACACCGAGCAGGTAGAGGAAGCCAGTACGTGACCTGAGAGGAGAGAATTTCACACACAACCCAAGTACCCTGCCTCATGCGAGGGGGGCCTATCACTGCCAGAAAGCTTCCTTTCTGGTAATAATGGAAATTTGTGGAAAATCTGCAAAATGTGAAAAGTACAAAACTTCCTCATTCACTAGTGACCCATACACATGAGTATACATAACATTTGTTGGATATCATTATTAGTATTATATAGTTTTACCATAATTAATCTACCTACTTTCTTACTTTGGAAAATTGAATATTTCTTCCTTTTGTTTTGTAAATCATGCACCGTGTGTATGTTCAACAGGTCTTCATCCATAGCATATGTCTCCACACATGGGCTTTGTTTATAATCACTTTTGTGGTCCTGGCAGGAAAAGGATGGATGTGTTCCAAAGCATCATCAAAGGGTAAGCAAGCAGAGGAGGACTCACAAAGCTGCAGAACACACCAGTGAAAGAATGGTGTGATACCATGGGTCTGCCAACTGTGGGAAAGTATGATCACCCGAATTCATCCTACTGCGACTGTTTCAAATGACCATGAACACAATGTCTCAGACCAACACAGTAGTAACTCTGAAGCCTAGAAGTTTTGTTGAGAAAGTCAAGGTACAGGAACAGCATTCTCTCTAGGGGCTCCACCTTGTTTCTTCCCTGTTCTAGAAGTCTCTTTTCCTTGGTTAGAAGCCCTCTTCCAATTCCAACTAACAACTGCACCCACCATGT